CGTCTAGAGCAGATTCCAACTCCTTTTCCAAACGAGCAAAAATCGCCACCTCGTCTTCTTCCTCCGTCGACGTTGGCTTGCGGTGCTGCAAACTGGTCAGGTACTTTCCTTGAATGGATTCCATCACCTACAACAGCGTTCATACAAAGGAATAAGCAGCCACACTATCGTTAGTAAGCAATTCATCCCCTTCACTTCGCGACCACTTACTCGTAAGCTAGTGCGTTTCGTCAACATTTTCTCAAGACTTTTTGCCATCTTGATTTGACCCTCTAAGATCAGTCTCAGTCGGATATTCTCCAACTCTACACGACGTCGTTCTTGGTACTGGTGCGCTGCAATCTCAGTCCAAACTGGTCCCATCGCAGCATCATCACTTGTATCTTCAGCCAGCAGCGGCCCACTCATTGCCCTTCCTCCTGGCTGAAAAACACCTTTTATCAATGGACGAGCTGTGTCTTGTGATGCCTCTTTCGCAGGTACATACGTAGCCAGCGCTCGACGCTGCGAGAGCTGCAGCGTGCGTAATCTCGCCTCCATTGTCTGCACCGTCTTGCGTAGGTAAATGAGCTCTTCCTTGCGTTCATCCCGTGCCCGATTCGAGTTATAAGGCGCCGCTTTGCGCTTTTTTCCAGTGCCTGCAGCACCAACCGCTGCCCTTTTCTTGCGTGACTGCTGCTTTGAAGCGGGCGAGAGCGTCGCCTTGTTGTTGGACGCCTCATCGGTCGAGGGCACTGAGGGTGCGACTGGATGACACTCGTCGAGAGACGTGTTGCTACCCACCTGCGGCTCTTGTATACTGAACGCCAAAGCCTCTTCTTCAGTACTGGACAAAAGCGAGTCTCTGCAGTCAGGGGGATATTGGTGCAGCTGCTGGTCTTCAGACGGTACCAGTAGCCGCGAAATCGTGTCGTTGTAGTCGTCGTCCTGAAGGTCGGCCAATAAGGCCAACGCCTCCTGCATGAGCTCTTCCTCCTCCTCGAGCCGCCGCTGCTCCATCGTTTTCACGGTCAGGTCGTGGGGATCCCTATGTGCTATGTGCATTGGAAGAACAATCGAACGCAGCGTTGGGCGGCCGGTGGAAAAGAGCTCGTCATAGCCGGGATGTCTACTTGAACCTACAAACGTCTTACATTTGTATGACGTCTACTACCATGTGCGAACTGAATCTCAGTGTTAACACATGGGTACAGCGAGCCTACAACCATTGGTTTTTATAAAAAAGAGACTGCTGTTACAAACCAAATCTCTGCAGTCACCAATTGCTGGACAATCACACTATGTGTGATGATGGACTTATTTTAAATCCATCAAGTTCCGGACCCCCCGGCTGAGAATTGGGCACGTCCCAACAGTTTCGATCTTACAGTCTCACAAATCCCAAGCATTGGTCGATGCAGAAATGGCGCAAGGAGGTAGCATTGGTGACGCGTCTTTAATCCAACGTCTGTGTCATCCATCGCTTATCAGCGGCGCGAGCGGAGACGACAGTGGGCAGAAGAAGCACGTAAAGTCTGACTCTAAACCACCGTTACAACGGCAAAGACTTTACGCGCAAATTGTAATCGCACAAATGCGTAAAACGATACCAATTTGATTTTCGTCTACTTATCCAATGCAACGCGATTGTGTTTGCACAGCAAGGAGGTTTCGGAAGAATTCAGATGCTGGCACTGAAACCTCAATCTTCCTCTAGGCGTGATGTATACTTTTGTGGTGCTGTCACACGTCCATCATCATCAGCTCCAAAGATTTGTTATGCTACCAGTCGCCCAACGTCGCAGCTGCGTAATATCGCCCTGTATTCGACAAATACTGATCGGACCAATTTTGCGGCTGACCGCACGCACTCGCCATGCGCATGGATCGTCTGATCACTTCAATCTTGTCAATGTGTTTCGACAAGCAAAGTGCTTGCACGTTATCTCTGCGATTGACATCGTCGAATTTTACCTCAGCGAGATGTTTAGGCCGTGGCACTTGTATTGCAGTAGGTTTTGCTTGCTAAGTTGTTCCGCGCATACGTTTGCTCGGAATCAGCGTGCGCATCCGGCTCATTACATCCATTGTCGTTGCTATAGAAACAAGGTAGAATGCAAAACTGGGCAGTTTACATGCTCTATATATGACCTCTAATGTGACAAAAACACAATAAATTGGAGGAAGAAGTGTGTGGAGCGCACGTCTTACGCGTCGACAGGCTGTTGACATCAATCGTGCCAGGTTTACTTACGGCTTGTAGCACAGACGTTTGGACTGGGACGCAGACACGGTCCATTGGTAAAGAAATACTAGCTAGGTTGTAAAATAGAAGCGTTTAATTAGTCATTACACCAATAGATGGAGGTGAGATGTAGGGAGCTTAGTAAGTGAGTGCAGAGCACTGTGGTTATTCTCGAATGTGCATTACAATATTGCCCGGTGTACATTTGGCGAATACTTACTGATATGCACAATTGGAACCACGTTGTGCCTCGTTCATACGCTCGCTCTCCCATGTCAAAATTATTTGTGGCTTTCAAGGCCATGCTGCCCCACCAGTTCAAGATAGATTTCCTGAAACTCTATACCTATATATTGATGCACTCACCACTAGATGGCAAGTAAATCGCCTTTGTTGTTGAATGTGAGGTATCTTGAGGAACATAAGCGACCAGCAATATCCTGTTTTTTCTTAGCGGGCCTAGCTTCGGGGTGGTCAAAGATCTGGTGAGCCTCAAACACCAGGTCGCGATAGTCGTCTGCAATTAACTTGACGCAAAATGCCTTTGATGGATTATGTCGTTGAATAGGATGTATTTTGATCATAGTTGATCGGCCCCGAACTTCGCTGGACAAAGGAGCTGAGTTTAGTGAAACTTTTAGCGTTAGCTGCGGGTATGTGGTCCCGTGAGTCTTGACTGGCGTGGAGCGACGGGTTTAATGCAGACACAACACGGCAATTTGTAAAGATGTGAGATCAAAGCTCGCTCGATCCTTTTTGCTCCCGGTCTCGTTCTCAATTGTCGCGTATCCTTTCTATATACATCTGTATCTGACCTAGGTCTTCTTGTTTGCATAGTTTGTCAGCTGATGTTGCGTGTAACGGTTACACGGTTGCACGGTTGCAAGTCGTGAAGGGGCAAAGCGTAATGTTACGCACTATGGCCGCTGACACTCACGAGGGTGTTCATTGGTATCTTCTTTTACGAGACAAACTCTACAACTCAGCCACTAATATTGGCATGTTCTTTCTGTGGAATTAAGCTGGATTCTAGCCCATAAAGTTTGTGGCTTGACAATGCTGTCGTTGACTTGATATGTGGTCTATATTCGACGTTGTTTTGCCGATAATAACGACCTGTTCCTACAATGCATCCTGGAAATTCTTGCGCATTGTGCATTTTTGTGCGAAACTCTGCATCGTCATTTTCAACGCATCGTGTAGTCCATTGTGCGACCTACTACTTCTCTAGCCCTGCATGCACTATTTTAGTATTAAGTATCAAGCCGTACGTTTGTGGTTGCGCGAAGAGGTGCCGCTGCTACAGGTCTGAGTGTTTTGCAATCTATGTTTGATGGTGAAAGAAGCTGGTAATCTCGCTTTTAGTTATGCCGAAGTGCAAAGGGTAAGACCATTATCTGGTGCGTCAGCTCCAAGCAGCGTACGTTTGCTATGCTCTTGTCGATAGTGGATGGTGGTGCGTATATTGATCTGACGTCATTTGTATAATCTTTGCGCGATGACAGTCACAGTGCCACTATTGGTGTACCGCATGTCTCACTCATTACGCTTCGCCATATCACGAGAACAATAAACAAAATAAGCGTTGCCCCGCGGCGGAGACGCGGCATTGGGATACTTAGCCTACAAACGGGGAGCTTATGAGCCTCAGCAGATAGTCGAGCGCAGCTGATAACGCATTTGATCAGGCAAAGCCATGCTTACGACAGATGATCGAGCTGAATTGCTGTGCATGTCGCATGCAAAGTGCTATTGGAATCCAAAGTCTGTCATTTTGCTAGTGGAGGCTTTACAAGCTGCTCACAAGATTGCAAATGCGTGTGCATACATGCGCTGTACGGCATATCGAGTCCCACTAGTACCTGCCAAAGCGTTCCCACGTTCATCATTGTCATCGAAGCGCTGTACAAGTCATGTTGGCGTCATGTAGCCTTATCCGCCAGAGCCAGGCTTCTGTGCGCTACACAATTCGGATTTTGATAAAAGCGGCATGATACGTAAGGCAAGCGGGTGTAACTGCCTGCCTGCCAGCACAAACAAACATTCATGCTATCAACGTACAGCGACAAATCAACTGTGTCATGATTCGAGCTTGTAAATTATATCTCGTATCGTAAGGTCCACGAAAAAGTTTACAAGGCGCGGCAAGGTTCATTAAACAGTCTACGAGGCGCGGCTGCCGTCAATCATGGATGTTGACGTTTACTGTCGTTGCTAACGTGTGCATATTCTATAAAGTGCAACCAAATAGCAGTGCGATATATCCAGTTGTCGCTGTACGGCATAGCATAGCCAGGAACTATTCGATACGAAAGCTTTGCCATGCAAGAATTTTCATGACGCTACAACGGAATATAGCTGTTGCACTCAAGTTACAGATGATGATGCATTTCATCAAGTATTCTAAAGTCTGGAGGGTTGGGTCAAGAACGAAGTATGCTACAAGACGTATGCATGTCGTTATACTCGCATGCAATGGACATTTAATACTTCGCAATCCGGATGTGCAGCCACTTCGGCAAATTGTTTGGCGCTACCAGTTTGAACCTTAACACCAATTTACGGGTCATGTGCGTTATAGAGCAAAGAGGAAAAAGTCATGCGAAGGCGCCGACTATTGCCGTTGTACAAAAGTGGGAGTGCATCGTGCGAAAAAGAGCCTGTACAAACGAGCTCGCCGGTCAGACGTCTGTCATAGGTTTGTGCTGGTTGCAAATAGCCGCGAGCAATGTCAAGAAAAGCCTCAAAGAGAATTTGAATGTGATCGCTACTGCATTTACATGATAAAGTTGGCCAGGTCGCCTCTGCCAGTCTCAATCAGCATTTTCTGCTGAAGCATGCGATAAGTTGCTTTTACCTGTGCGCTTTTAGCACCAACAGCGTGGTTACGGACCTGATCGATGTGTTCGCCGTCAATGTACAAGCACCTCCTTTCTTTGCTGGAGCTAAGACAGTGGTTAATGCATACCACTGATTCTTGATGCGACGTTGGGAATGCTGGTCGCGTAGCTACCGCCCAGGAGCGTTCTTTGAATAAAATTTTGCCGCTGTCGTGAAATGATATCGCTGCCCATACGATCAGCTCACAGTCGTCCTCGGTGTATCGACGCAGTAGCCCGGCCCCGTCCAGGCAGTTCTTGGTTTCTGCTTCGCAATAGTCAGCGCCAGACTCTGAATGCACTTCTTGTTCTGCGTCTTTTTCTTTCGTCTACATCAAACAGGAGACAAACTTCAGTAGCAGCTAATTAATTACACAACCGAAAGCGCCAAAGTGCTGCGTACCTGTGTCATTCGATTGCTTACGCTTGGTTTAGGCAAAGAGAAAATGGCTGCCAAGAAATCCCTTGCCGTATTCAAGTTGCATTCCAACGGAGTCTCTGACGTTATATGCGTTGTAGGTCCTTCATTTAAGTCCAGGCGCTTGTCACATTTACAAGTCAGTGTCGGTGCCAAACCTTTAGCACCAGTAACACGGCCAACCGTCGCTTTGGCTTCGTCATACATTTCATCCATCAACGCCATTATTTCGCTCCTCAAAACTTCGGGATCGTCAAGCAGAGACGTAGGGTTGCTAGACATCGATCTTGAATATGTACTCTGTGTACATTCTAGCAGCCTAGAATTGGCCGGAGACATTGTCTAAATTCATCGAAAGGGTCAGTTCGTGCGTCGTCAATAAAGGGACCCATGCATCGCCTTACCTCGACAGTGGACTGCATAGACGTAGCAGACCACCTGTTCTCCATTGCAAGCATCTTCGTAAGCGACGGCTTGAGCGGTTCTACCTTCTTTTGCGGCTGTAGCATCTTTATGGTGACACTAGATGGCTCTCTCGCACCACCTTTTGCTTCACTGATTGCACTACTGCCGTCAACGTTCCCCATGTTGGAAAAGTGCCTTTGTAGCCGTTGCATCTGCATTTGCGACTGCTGGTGCTCCTCGTTTTGCCGCTGATGGCATCGACGATTCTGAGTGTGATTCTGATCGCAGCAACCGCGATTGAGATCCACAAAAAGACTTGAAACGCAAATTTCGTCGCAAAAGTCCGATACAGTGGAAGCGCTGTGGCAATCGTCGTCGATCATGGCCAAAGCATTTTGCTTGAACGACTGATAATCGTTGATCTCTTCCATCAACACGAAGCTCATCGTGTCAACGAAGTCAGATTTCTACGCGAAACGATCAGTAGAAAAGTTAGCTTATTTGCACTTGAGCGATTCGGGTGATAAGCGTGTACTTTGGTGACGAAGAGCGGTTACACTGGCAAGGTGATAAGTCGACTCGCGGCGATAGTGGAAGTGACCCCCTTACGGCACACACCAATTTCTTACATGCATTACTTAACAAAGGCGGTACCATCGGGCACTCGACGACATCACTGCGATAGTCAGGCATCAGGTTTTGTTCTAGAAAAAAGACGTACGCTTTGCACTGTGACCGGCACTATCACCGACTGGCTCCCAATGAAGGCAGACATGTCTGATCATTCAGTGATTCACAGGGACAGAAAAAGCGACACCAGTGCAACTCTGGACGGTCGACGGCATCGAGTCGTACCATGGTCTAATCGACGAAGGCTGCATTCGTCTATCCCTTTCATGCGGCCGTTAGTCAAGTCCAGTCAAACGATCACAATGCAGCAATGCTCGTGCTATGCGCAGCGCAAAGCCACACGACATGTGCTTGGTGTGTATTCCCATGACAATGACACAACCCTACGATGCGGATGAGCGTTTTACTTTTAGAGAGAGGGGCCAGACCATCGTTAGTGTGTTGAAAACACTCCGAGATGCCTGATTCGAATGCATTTGTGCCTTCCACAGCGACCGCGTCGTTCTCCTTTTCGCCGGCTATTCTGCAGTCTCGAGACGCCAAGCTTTTCGCGGGAGTGGGGATACTCCGTAAACGGCACGTGTGATCGGTAGGCAGGGTCTGAGTGCGTGCAAGGCTCAGTGGTCGACTTAATGGCCGGTACCCACTTCGTTCAGGCCCCGAGGGGCCATCCTCGCCCACGTAATGGGTAAAACAGACAGCGACACATTCTAGTCGAGTTCTCTTCGTGCGCCCGATTCTGAGCTCGACAAAGGGGCCGGTGATTATAAGGCGGGTGTAGAATAGCAAAAAGTTGCTTTCAAAGGATAGTGGGAAGACATCTTGACGTGCGAGGGACACGCCTCACACACCAAGGTATCTTGCCATTGCCCCTCTCATTCGCGTGTCGCGCTGCATCTCGAGGCGCACGCAGCTCACGAAGCCTTTTCGTAACCTGAGCTTCACCATAAAGACCTTTTCACCCATGATGAGGGAGCCAGCACACAATTTATGAGGTCTTCGTCGCTTGCTCGTTGTCGCTGTTATGCATAATTACAAATTGAGAAAAGACACTGACCCGTGGGAGTGAAAAAACCGGCTTTGTCGTGCAATCGACAGGTTCGCACTACAAGCAACAAAAATGTGGCTGAGCACCAAAGGGTCTACAGAAAACGCCTAGGTATGTTGTCCAGGTAGCACACGAAGTTCACGATCAGTACTTCGATCACCAAACAAAATCCATGAGCTTCCTCGATATTGATGATTCTCTCAACAAATGGTCATCCCAACAACTACAGGGGCCAGCAATGTTTTAAAACGATGGATCTTCGTGGTATAGTATTACGCTTGCGCGAAGCTCAACAAGGAGGCACTACTACAGAATTGTCGAACCAACGGAGGCTGCAAGCGAAGATAACGCTCGCACTTCAATATGACAAGCTAACGATGCATTGACCTTCCCCAATGTGTACACGATGGTCAACACAGATCTCGTATCAATACAGTGAATTGCATCGACGACTGCAGAAGCTTGTAAGATACAAAATATCGACTTTCTTCGTGGAAGCACATATAAATATCGGACCAATTTGTTCGACATTTGCGTGAGCAAAAGATGCTGACGGAAAACCTCGGTAGAATATCGATAAATCGATGCGTTGTTTGCGACTCTGGTCGCAATTGCTGAAGACGTTTGCGACACAGGCAGCTTCTTGTCCAGCTTAAAAGTCTGTCAGATGAATGCGATCGGATTATCATAATTATGACGAGCGCTACGAATATTTATATACAGTCATTCCTCGGATAGCTCATATCCTCACATAACTCATAACTTTATATAACTCATACAAATTGAATTCCAATATGCTCGTTCTGTGGTCGCTAACTCATAACTCGTAACTCATAACTATTGGACTTTAATTAGTTTTCCGGGGGCAAAAATCATGCAAGAATACTTTTTAGCAAAGAAGATCATATTCATGTATGAATTATACGTACTTGAAGAAGACGAAGTGTCGGAGTAAACTTATCTGGTAAAGCCAAGCATCGATGGTGCTCTGGGTGGTGGTATCCACACGGATGGACATCTGAAGCTCATAAATACGCCTACGGAATACTGAGCACTTCACGACAGCGAATCAAGCTGGTAAACAGTCCAGAGTCAGAGACAATACAACACAAGAACGCTATGTGTCCTTGAGAAAGAACTGGGATTGAGACGAAAAACCTTTCGGAAAAAAACCCTTCTCATATAGCCTACACTTCAACCCACCGTTGAGGCTAATCTGCTCAACTAGACTGCTCCGTGTTTCCAATACTGAAACATAGTCAGCACTAACGGTACTGAAAAGAGCGGAGCTTGGTACACCGATACACATCGTTCTGACAGAACCCTATCAGCCGGGTCGACGAATCAAGGATGGAAGAAGTGACAGCTTGGTACTTGAGATTTTCTTCCTTGCTAGTCTCCACCATATTGGCTTGCTCCTCCTCCTGTTCCTCCACCTCTTCAGCCCCCTGATATCAGGATAATCTCACTGTCACTCAACTCCGCGTGCGCTACTTCATCTTCCTCCACTAGATTTATCACTTTGGAAATGGCCATAGGTCTTCTGAGAGGAAGAATATTGATGACATCCTGCAACTAGCGCTTCATCTTATGCTCCTCCTGATCAGCCAGAGAAGTCAAAGGCGAGGATACAAATAGTACAGTGTGGCTAAAACGGTTTGCACAGTTGCAGCTGAAATCTCCTCTTACGCTTCCACACACACTCCCTTTCAGGACGATCTACTGGTCGACCTTGCAGGTGTTGACTTCGCCGCGTTCTTCGCGGTCCACAGTATTCAAAGATGGAGGCACCTGTAGTGGCGCTAAAAAGCAGCGATGATTTAAGCATCTATGGGCTGAATTTTTGCGGTACAGTTGGAAGGTAGGAATTGCACGTGAACATTCTTCATCCCCAGACGATTGAGTAGCATAAGATGATAAATTATCTAGCAAAAGCAAGACCTTCCTCTTGCGGACCTGGGAATGATACTGCTAGGTTAAAATAGTATTATAGTGTCCTGGTAAATTTCGATGGAATTACAAAAATATAGCGTACTTACCTTCTTGTCGGTGTCGAATTTCTTCACCAACTCCTGAATCAGATCATTAGCCATCCAGGCCTCGTTGTTCTTCCTGGAGTAGAATACGATCTGCTCTCCGGGCTTGCGCTTAAAACAGCGAGGTTCTTTTTGCTTTTCCAATGAAAAAGGCTTGATTTTTTCAATATTGTCCGCATTAGCCGTGAAGGCGATAGAGATCCGTGCCTGAATCAAAAGGAAAACTGTCATTGAACTGAAATTTACAAGCTTTAAAGATTGTTATAAGTATTGTATTAGGGCCGACCTTCTATTTCGTGAAACCCTCAATTTCTTGCTGCGCAACTGTCTTCTTTGGAACCATGTTGTAGAATAGGCCTAAGTTGACAACATAAATGTTCAACATTATACTAAATTCAGGTTTATCAAATCGAGACATACCAGTTTCATCCATGTTAAAAATATCTTGGGGCTCGTAGCGAGCAATTAAAGCCCGAAGTACGGGCAACGCTGCATCCATGGCTTCCTCGATTTTCTGAACCACTTTCTCCGTGATATCCGGATGCTGCGGTGCTTTTTTCGCTTCTGGAAGCGTTGCATTAATCCACTGTGAAATCTTGATGGTTCTCTCATATAGGCCAAGTCGTTCAGAAAACAAATTGAGCCTTGGCCTTGATGATTACTCCATTTAAAGGCGATATTTATTGTCTGGAAGTGAACGATTCGTGTTCGAAAAAGCTTTCTCCAGTTTGGTATTCTGAGCGAAGCGAGGGTTTTGGCGGAAACTTTGGTATCGTTCATAAATTCCGGATCTGTGAGCTTCTTGAGTTTAAGAGAGATGTCAGACTAAGTGAGGTGAGCACCGAGCTTGCTGGAATTCCAATTTGCCGAGACACTCTGGCTCATTTTCGGATTCTTGGCCTTGTGCTGGCATGTCTCGAGTACTTGTGCAATGATGAGGCGTCCTTGGGACAGTATTTCGATGTGATTAAAAAGGGGGAAATCGCTTAAGAATAATATACAGAAATTTATATTTTATCATTACACACAAAAATCAGAAATTCACGTAACTCATAACTCGACTATCTCATAACATTTGCCACTAAGAAGACTATGAGTTATCCGTGGATATGACTGTACCATAAATCGAAATAATCTGATGAGACCGTATTACATGACATTGGCATAAGCTTTGAATGTTTAGATGGATGGTATCTAATGGGGATTATCGATCAAATATGTCCCAGAGGGTAAATCCGATACTTGCAGTGATTGTTGATATATGAGAGAAAATGACAGCATACTGCGCACGGTCTGGTAGAAATGTATTTAGTCTACCACTCACCCACAATGCCATCTTGCAGCGACAAAAGTGCGCAAAGGAAAGATAGTTAGCATACATACTTGTAATTCATTAGGACTAAAGTAGGTTCACGGCAGATGATATCAGAAGGCTAATAGTCGAACTTAGTGCATCATATTTCTCTATTCGTCGAACCATCATCATTTTATCGTCAATAGCTTTTACTGTCAATAAAGTAGACGTGCATGTAACTACACGTTTGTCAGTTCGATTGCGTACACTATGGCCAGTGCAAGCATAATAAGCCTCAAGACATCAATATGAATCACATAAACAATACAAAGGCAGAGTCAAGCGCTCTTCTAAAGATGTAAGAAGTTCTAGAGCACGATTCCCGAAACTTTAAAATAAAATGAGTAATTTTCTACTATTATGATAAGTCCAAAGCAAGGGACACGAAAGCATGGTGTCGTGATCGTCGGACAAGATAAGGATGCCTAGCAGGTATCCGGTGTTCAGTGTGAATGAATTTGACTCCAAGGTTGGCTTCTCGACATTAGTGTGCCGCACAATATTTTTTGCAACCATTTATGCGATGTACAGTTTCGATTTTTCGTTTGAGTAAAGCTACGATTGAGAGCTAGTGACAGCTGATGTCGTTTAGGTGACTTGACGTTTGCAATATATATGGAACTGGCCCGGAAGGATGACGTGTTGAATGTTGTAAGGCTATATCGCACTTGTTCTGTCGATTTATGCGTTTTCTGAATCCGGTCACATGGGCACGTCCGTATCCGAATGAGCGGAGTTTAAAGCAAGCAAGGTATGGGGACTTCAGTTAATAAAAAGAGTAAATGTTTCTTGCAGTAGTACGATACATAGTAAATACGGAGGTTGTAATGAAGAGACTCCGGCACGTGATATTGACAATTGTGATATTATGCATACATCATTTTTGCAGACAGTATTCTCGAACACAAAACGAAGGTGACATTAAGTGGCTTCTGCTGACGGGATTGGAGTGAGCCATTTAGCAGATTGGACCCGATAATATGGACCTGCGCAATGGGCATCTAGCAGATAGATTTAGTTTGTGTATGTGTTCAAAGACAGTCAAGAAAAGTATAATTTAGTTTACTGGTACGAGAACTACATCAACCATAATTATTTTTACCTCAAATTAACGCGTGCGTTTATCTAGTCACTCCTTCTGCATGCACGTGTTCGTGAAGCTCCGAGGGTACTTCCTACACTGTAAAGGTAAGCTCATACAGTCGCAGCATAAGCGAGGTGTCCAGATACACAGTTTGGGTATTGAATTTGCCGGTGGAGACTGGTTTCGTGAGACCTAGTGTGCGGCATGCAAGATTAAGGTGCATGCCAAGGTAGGCATAGAATCATCTCAAAAAAAATTTCAATAGGATGAAAGGCGACAGATTTATCTGCCGGTATTGACGATGAATACGGAAGTCGTGGAAAATTTGTGACCAGTAATGGGCTGTAAAAAATGGTACAGTGATTTTGTTACATGTTATTATAATCATCAATTGTCGATACATAATAAGCTCGGTAAGTAAACCATTAGCAACGAAAAAGAAGATGATAAAATACAACATTGTATGATTATTTACGATACTTGGTCGCATAGTGTATCATTTACAAGTTGGGACTTGATCGGTTGGCCTTTATAACGACATCGTGATAATGTATCGAAGCAAATGAATGGTTAGATACCAGGTTTTTTAATTGATATTTGTGTCCATCACCTACGAAGAATATTCGCAGTGTGATGTCAAAAGCCTGTCGTTGAGGAGCAAGCTAGAAAGTGGTATTCGGCACAGCAAATGGAAAAGAGGAACAAAATATGGGTCGTATATGATGTCATGTAATTTAAATCATTAAATTATACATAATACGTGACGAAATGATTAACATGCTCTCTAGACTCGACAACAACCTCAATTGAAGCTTGTTTGCAAATGATGTTGATCGAATATCATCGAAATCGACTATCACCTTGTTCTTTGTGGTTTTATAACAAGTTGATTTTTTAAACATGCGCGTTTTGACCCTTCATTTCATATAAAGGATATACATAGGTTTAAACATAACATGTCGTAATCTCTTTTGAAACTATCACGCTTTTTAGTGTAACGGCCTGCAAAAACACTATAGCCTTCTCGGGCTCGGGCTCTCGCAGATCGTCGATCATTCGTGGATATGTTGCTTATCGCGTGCCTGGCTTTGTAGCATCAGTTTGCGTGGATGACCAGTGTTTTTGTAGTGAGCGGTTCATTGTGGTTAGGCTAACGATTACATCAATGCAAAAAATAGACGGCCTGTGAACAAGAACATCATTCGACATGACATCAACAAATTGATCGTAGTGTAGCGTATTCTGCAACTATTTATTGTACAACGTGTTGTTTCCATTTAATTGAATTGGCGTGCGTCCACGTTCCACGCGTGTAATCAACTATCTGTAGCTGTGTACCTCAATTTACCAATCAATGTGATATACAAAAACCATTTCAAGCAAAAAAATTTGCAACCATATAGACCATCCCACAGCTTACTCGGACATTCATATAACTTGCACTAAGTTAGCGCCAAATATCGATAAATTAGCGATGATATTGAGTCATGCAGTTCGTACATACGGCTATGGTGTGAAGGTGTCATCTGGTCATTCGCTCTATGACCTATATTTAGTGGTGAATGCGACGAATCGTACGACACGGCTTACTCGTGTTGTCGTCGATTGCAGCGTAAATTTGATACTATTTCAGATACGTATAGAACTTCACAGCATGCGCTTTGCGGTGCTTAACTGGAAAGCGCAATGCATAATTTAAATCTGAAGCGCAATACCGTGAACGTAATGGCTTGTAATCGGACAAATGTCGAATTATACTGCAGCTGATAGAATAGCTATGTCTTCTTTTTAATTTAGAATAGCTAAGTACGACATAGATCGAAATACTTAAGATACACTGCGCTACTTCCGTTATCGGACCTTCTCTTCACCTGACTTGTATTTAGCTGCAAACACGACGCTTATCTTTATAAGCAATATGTTCTCAATGCAAAGACATGGTTGATGTGCGCATATTATGCTTAGCCTCTGTATATATAAAAGTTACCGGTGCAATTGTTCAGCATACTCGATTTGTACAGTCCGAGTATAATTTCGTGGGATGTGTCAATAGCTCTTATGTCTCAAAGTACGACCCGTGTATGAATGGACGAAGATACTAGACTCATTTCGTATCTACCTAAACAACTTTCGGGTAGTATGATTAATGGTTGCTTTGTTCTATCACAATTGAATGCCTAAACGATCCGGCATTAGTTCGCCATCAAAGAAGACACAGATCAAGAAGCACTTATCAACCCGACGGACACATCTGTGCAGCCACATGCATACATCATGAGCTAGTCTTACTGTAAATTGGTCATTAAATACTACAAATAAATAAAAAAGCTGTACGTATTCGAAAAGGCTATCGAAGTTTATTATGCTGAGCTGCGCGATGTGTGCGCCAGCGACTTTTGCCTTTGCCATTAATTTTACAGACATTTATCTTATGTAGTGCAAGGCAATGGTGGCAACGACTTCAACAGTCTATCGAAAGTCCTTAAACAAACTCTTGATAGGAGCTTTTTATAGCCGCAGAAACAAAATTCGATACAAGCGTGACTGAATTGAATGGCCCATTGACTTTATTTCGTCAATGACGTATAACTGGTACCACCTTAGCAATACAAATAATTTTGTCCTGCTTTTTGCCTTGCACTGGACATTGATCAACGAAGGAATTTCGCGTACAAATCTCGATTTTTGTACGAAAACAAGCAGCGTAGCTTACACAATCAACGCATTCGAATTGTGGCCAATGCTCGCTACAACGTCGGCAAATACAGACCGATGTCCTTCAGACGTAGCGATCGAAAAGCACAAAATCTTAAAAAAGGAAACAACAGATCAGAGCAAATAAAGTCTCCATTAGTAAGCGACATGCTACGTCAACAACACGAGCACACAATCGACTTTGTTCTTATTGACAAGATATGAACTTTGCGACGAGAGCACAATAAAATCAGCTCGAGGATTCTAGTCAGTCCAGGATTTGCGAGCTGACCCTATTATCCATTGTACTTAGTGTTTGGAGCTAGCAATGCAGCCGTACACACCCGTGTCAAGTAGCGAGCAGTAAGCGCCCACAGGGCAGTCCCCGTTGCTCACCTGGGCAACGCAAGCATTGTTCGAAGAAATGCAGCCATTGTGGTCCCAGCCGACAACTCCGATACTCTGCTCATTGCCGCTACAGCTCGCCTTATCACCAGCAGTTTCAGCGCCTTCCTTGCAGCCGAATACACCCGTGTCAAGCCACGTACAGTGGGCGCCCTCGGGGCACATACCGTTGTTGTTGGCGACGCACACATTTCCAGAGGCAACGCAGCCATCCGCCGACCATCCTTCAACAGCGATGCTCTCCTGTCCACTCGGACACGTGGACTCCACAATCTCGTGCGACTTGTGATGGTGGTGGTGCTTCGTGGGACCTGCCACACAGCCGTACACACCCGTGTCCAGCTTTTGGCACGAAGTTTCAGCTGGACAGTCTCCATGGCTCGCCTGGGCAACACAAACGTTGCTCGAAGAGATGCATCCATCATGGTCCCAGCCGACGACCCCAATACTCTGCTCATTGCCACGGCAGCTCGTCTGATTCGCAGGGTCTCCTGCGCCATCCATACAGCCGTAAACGCCAGTGTCCAGCATTGTGCAATGAGCGCCTTCGGGGCACGCGCCCTTCACGTTGGCCACGCAAACGCTACCGGAGGCAACGCACCCATCGGAGGTCCAGCCGACAACGCCAATGCTCTCCTGGCCGCTTGGACACGACACCGTGGTGTGAATCCGCACGTGAAGGTGGGCGGTTGTCTCGCCCTGCGTGCTTCCGGCGGTGAGCGCTGCGACTGCAGCAATGGAAGCAAAGACGGATCCAGGCATCTTGAGTATGACTTGGTAAAGGATTGAATGAGCAGATCTTCTGCTTGTCATCGATCCGTAGCTACAAGATGAACGATCTTGATTGGCAGTAGCTCCAGATCTCAGGTGCACGCACAGGCAGTTAGTATGACATTGTTCTGAGTTGTTTGGAAAGTATATTGTCGCTCGTGTACCTATTCACTCAATGGGTTCAGATACTTTCCAACTAGCAAAAAAGGCAACTGGATTCGAGCGAATGGGTGACAGGTTATCACACTTGGTGCGGAAGAAACACAGGAGATAGCGTCGGGCAACAAATGTGCGGCATTGCATTTGCTAGCATTCGCTCCATGATTTGGATGCATATCCATTGGGTCTCATTTCTGATGTGTCGAAATGGAGCGGCAGACTCTGGGTTTAGACGCCTAAGTATGAGCTGTCATAATTGATCACAGTGTGTTGAGACCGAGCTCCTCGTGAGCCATGCTCCACTGATTTCCATAGGAGACCAATACAACTGTCTTGCTCTCTTCAACCGGAGCTTATGTTTACCCTCACGCCGTGCGATTATCGGCAGCGCACTCATAGTGAAGAAGTGCCAGTGCTGCATTAAAGAAGGGTTGAATGGCTTAAAGGATACCTGCTCTCTGACCGCGCGCTACGAAAGGCCACATTTGTCGACCGAAGCACTTAAAGTTCGTGAACGCGAGCGATGGCAACGGAGAAAGGTCGGTCAAAATGGATCAAATGGCCGAATATGCCACAATATAATCGATAGGGTTACATTGCTTTGTGATCCTGTCTGTTGTTGGATTTTGAAAAGGTCGCATGTAGTACTGGCCGAAAGGTTTTGCGTATAAATTACAGCGTGTGCATCGTCACTAGATATAACGAAAAGATGCAGCCGCAGAACGAGATAAGAATACCACAAAGCATTGGTTAGTGTATCGGCTGCCTCCATGGGTACAACGAGTATAAACATTGATGCGTCTTCCTACGTGTTGTCTCGGGCTTTTGTCAAAATCGCAGAAGCATATTGAGGCACAATGAAGAAGTGATGTATGAGCAAACTACAATTACACCATTGCCCCAATAGCGTACTCTCACTGGCCAAAAAGCTTATGTGTTACAACAGCGTACTGAACGATGTCACGAAATTTTTTGACAATTGAGTTTGTGCATGACGGATACTTGTACAAAAATAAGACGTTGCTTGATCGTCATGCAAATAGCATTCACGATAATCGGTAGCGACGCATGCAAGCCCATGTGTTGAGGACCTTCACACCGCCACGTAATGGTCGACGATGATTCAAAATTACTTGTAGAGATCAAATAGTCTTAATTGATTATATTAAACCAGCTAGTATTGACCCCCTGAAGCCTAGTTGATAGCTTCGATTTTATATATCATCACCCATACAAAACACACGTGAACTTTATAGTCGAACAGCTCCCGTAGGTAATGATGGATAGCTTCAACACTTTTATTTGATGTCAGATACACGACTCAAAATTTGTAATCACCAGAGCACTTGCTACATTGTTGCAATAGTAATTCGGATGATAATAACGAACGTAGTGCAAAAAATGGTGTGATCGCCGCGCATGAGTGTATCAACGCGGTGAAAGAGAGAAATTTTGAAGGTCAACTGTATGCTCTCTCGATTATAATAACATAGCGTATAAATGATTTTAATGACCACACTGCCTTCGTTCAGCCGCAATTTAAATAACTGCGAGTTTGTACAATACCTTGACTATTCCAGTCTATTTTTGCACAACACATATTATACAGTCTCTTCTGGGTGAAAACTTGTAGTGTGTGAATATAAAAACGTGAAAATTTAAAATGCCGTCCACCAGCAAATAATCATTATCCTGTCATGGTATCCACACACTTCAGATAATTTTTCATTTTATAATGCTAGAGTAGGGTATCTTACTTCCTTACGTCGAACAACCTCGAAAAACGGATGAAGTACCTGTTGCCTTTTAACGTTCCTCAGCTGTACATAGCTTAAAGTTGCTGCACATTTGTTAGCGCATCATTAAGACGGAGAAGCAGCTCCATCGTAATTTAATAGCACAGAAGTCCTACACCTAACTTTTTGCATTTTTCCAGCTTTAGCCTTTGTAAAACATACGCTTGCGATTGCGTATCGCTTTTGCTCAACACAGATGTAATGAGTCAAACATCGCATATCCATGCTGAATACGTATAAAAGCCGTTACAGCGCTTGTAAGTTATCAAATACATTTATTTGTATTCCTTCTTAAAGAAACGTACCGGTCGTTTATCTGTTTACAGCGTTTTCATGTCCATGCCGTTATTAAATTTTCTTGTTGACTTTCTTCTGCACAAGTTAGGTGGCATTATAATTAGCAGCTTCACCAAGATCCGCGAACCTATAATCTTATTCTGCTACGCCTGCATATGCCGTGGTCCAATAGTGCAAGGTACGTTCGAAATATCCGCTACGTAGCCTCGTAAGGCGTCTTGTCAGGGTGAGTACCGTGTCTTGGTCTTTCTGCACCTTTATATCCACAGCCTTTCCAGACTGAAAATTTGCCTGTTTCGATTTCGCACACGGTTATTCCATGCAACAACCGTGATGATTAGCAGTCTACTTACCTTTCAGTAGAAATCTTCTGATGCACAGCTTCGCAGTCACCTTTTGCTTTATTGGCGTGCAATCATACCTGTGCCTCCTACATGCGTGTATCTACAGCTTTTTGCCAAAACAATACAAGTTTTTGTTAAACGCCGACTTTTTCCGCTTACGATCCGCTATGACAGCTGGTGGTACAGGTATCTCGCCCGTACTACTATGTGGAACAGATGCACAGTATAAACGCGTGTAATATCGGATCTTGAGCCGCCAAGACCGCAGTCTTCACGCGACTATCTATAATACATGATCACCGCTGTCGTACATACACAATCTGCTAATAATCTGCTCACTAAGATCGAAACATACGTAGTACAACAAATTACATCCATCGACAAAAATTGCTGCGATAATAATTGGAATGATAAGATAGTGTGATGTGCTGATTCAAAATTACGGTGAACGCGCAAAAACCTACCTCATCGAATTGCAGCCAGCAAATATGTAGCGGGGCACTAAAAGCTCCTTTGACAGAGGAAGACTTTTAGCTCAACAAGCTACTTCGTTCATACAAAGAACACGACTTAACGAGTCTACTTTGCTCAGTGATCGTATATTTTTGCATTAAGAAACTTCTCTGATTGAAAGAATTAGCAGCACAAAATGCTAACAAAAAAATGCCTTTACAAGGTTGTTGCTTAAGCGATCAAAATAAAATAAAATAGCAAGTGTCTTATGCAATTATAATGCAAACTAGTTATTTTTCATATTTTTAATAAGTAGAACAAATTTTGCGTATATGTATAATATGGTGTTCGAAGCTCTTATATAGTAAAAAATGAAACGCAGCATTGGTGGCTGAAGCGACGCTGATTTATATATGTGGCGAACATATGGTTTAATTATCTAGCCATGGATGTACTCATATCGTATTACAGTTGCAACTGCATTTATACAACACGCTATGGATATGGGCTCTAAAAGCTGGCCGAAACACAGCATCACCTCAATTTTTCTTATTAAATCAATTGTATATTTTCCTTTGCAAGGGCAGTTGGTATTCATACTTAACAAAACTGTGCACGTGCTAAAAATCAGTATTCATTGAAAACATTTTGATGCAATCATGAAACATAAGTAACATCATCGTAAAGCACTCTTCATTTTCAGACAGCGTGGTAACAAAGCACGGGTCCCAGACGTCAGCGGTCTTCTACAAAGAAGGTTAACATAATTACCTGGTCGAACACCTTGACGTATAAATATATCTATATCTAAGGTTGTAGAAAAGAGTCTTAATAGCCGCCGGTAGGTCAGCTCCAATAGATCTTTCGTGCATATTTAACGGATGTCTATGCAGCAATATGCTGAAAGAAATTGACCTTGCCTCCGCATTGTCGCTAAAAGAGTTTGATTTCTATGTATTCGATTAAAATTACTTCGTGCGCGCATATTCTATCGTGTTACTTGGAATTGCATACAAAGTTATATTGTAGAATCAAGGTTGTAAAAACCTTAAACATGATAAATTTAGAGCTTTGTACTTAAATTTCATTTCACCGTTCGGACTGCTATTTATTGACGGCTGCCCAAATCTGGTATCTATTTTGCTAAGTATTGCGTTCGCCAGTTTGTAATCTATTTGTGCAGTGTGTATGACAAGTGTCTTGATAAACCACGTGAATTAAATCTGACTGTACAGAAGTCCGCTATATCAAAAAATCGGAAAGTCCATAGGATCAGATGTACACTATCGAAGTTCAGCTCAGAAGACCATGCCGCTGCTAATATCTTAACGAAATTGACATGACGCCAGATTGATTTTCACATAAGGTGAGTCACAATGATTTGTTATCTTGGGAGATCCGAAATGATCTTCACATTTTAAGAATAACGTTGATGAGCTTCTATGTTTTGTCTTCGATTATATGCCCTATGGTGGCAAAGGATTACGCGTGGATGACAAATATTGTCACAGATCAGCGGAATCACCAGCCAATCTTTCGACACTGTGACTTTGCCTTTTCAAAGTACTGACGTCAATCGTTCAGACATGTTGTGAGGTGTTGACACTGTTATACTGACTGGTCATGTGGCGTTAAATGCATTATTTTACGAGAGGTTATTTCTTTAGTGAGCTTTACGATGATCTAATTTCTCGAGTCATACAACTCAACACATCTCTTCTGTTACCTTGCATCGCCGGTACATTTATTGTTTCTTACTACCTATTACCATGCACTTCGACTTAGGTAAACTCAACTCTTCCCGGTCGTGGCTATCGACCCACGCGACGAAGTATATGGCAAATATTATGGGCTCTTACCGGTCCGGAGAGCCCGAAATATCGTTTTTTGGGAGTCGTGCTTCTATGATAGGTCTTACTTGCTGAAACAGGGACCTGGGTTA